TATATGTGACTGTACGAAATGAAATGGAAATAAAACATATTTACACAGAACAATTAACAACTTTTAAGATGCATGGACTCCAACTCCCAGAATTCTCCAAACCAGCCGTGCTCTTCCCAGCCTTTTAGGGAAAGTAATCATCATCATAGGACCCCATAATCCCTTGCAGGGTGGAGTCTGAGCAGCTGAATTGAGCTAGCAGAGTGTTTATTGGCCAGATGCCCTTCCTGTTGCCAATGAGGAGTTTCGTTCAGCAGATATATTCTCATTGTTACCAGAGAGAGAGAAATATCTGCCTCTACCCAGGATCGAACTCACAGCCTACTGATTGTGAGGCGAGAGCTCCCACCTCTAAGGCCACCGCACCATTCTCTTTAAGGGAATGTGATGCGCGGCTCAAATTAGCTCTTAAAGCAAGATAAAGTCCCTCTCTAAAGACAAAGAAGGCTCCAAGAATGAAGAGATTCAAGAGGTCCAGCCTTCTTAAGAAAGGCCCTTACTTTCTGCTTCTGTTGGGCCGGATCCTGTTGACAATCCCGGTCCATATGGGCCCCGACAGCTACATCGGGCGTCTCCCCCTTTCTGACAGGGACCGGAGAGTTGCAAAGAGGGCAGACTGGAACCTGTACATCCTAAAACCCAAAAAATCAGGTCAAAGTCAGCAAAGACGAATCAAGGTAAGCCGGTGCTTCAAATGTCCTTAAAATACTCCTCGAGGGTGTAACTATTTGGCTTTGCAAGCTGCCAATTAACAAGGCCCCAACAAAGTCTTAAGAGAAAAAAGTCTTTTGTCAATGCAATAAACTTACTTTAAGACAAACTTTTTGCGTCTTCCAGAACTATCCTAAAGGCTATTTAAAAAAAAAACCCTTTTCCAATAAATCCCTTCCCCTTTTTTAAATTATTTTGCGGCTTTGACAAGTCTTAGTTTCACAGCATGTCATGATTTTAGACAATAGACCAGGAGTTATACTTTTTCCAAACTTCTTCAAAAGAAAGAAAAAAGAAAATAAAACTTGCCTCCTGAAAAATGTTGCTGAATGTTGAATGTTGATTTTATTTATATGCCGCCCTTTTCCCCCCACCGAAGGGGACTCAGGGCGGCTCACAACTCAAAGCCAGGGAAGGGGGGATACAGACAAAAAGCACCTTTGGGAGAATGCCAACCTTCAAGAAGTGGCCACTGGCACAAAGGACAAATTTAAAAACTGTTCCAACAATACCAGCATTTTTGCACCGCTAGTTATGCATTGACACACCCTCCTTCCCCCGTTTCCTAATGCCATAAATTCGGATATACCTTCTTGTGTGCCGAAGAACACCTGTGTCTGCTGTAGATAATGTGATCTTTGCAGAAAAGTTCCTTGCAGGCATCACATTTCAGAGGAAGGAAATCTGCAGAGGGGGGAAAAAAAACAGCAAACACGTTAAGGTCTTCCCAAATCACAAGGGTTGCGGTAGGAGCCGAGGTGGCGCAGTGGTTAAATGCAGCACTGCAGGCTACTTCAGCTGACTGCAGTTCAGCAGTTCGGCTGTTCAAATCCCACTAGGC